TGTGGTGAGAATATTTAAGATCTACTCTTTTAGTAAATTTCAAAAACACAATATGTAATTATTAACTATTGACTCAGGAATTCTTAATCTTCTTCCCAGATGATGAAGAGCCTCCAGGCTCTGCCCCCTTCCATACAGAAACAACTCCACTCTCCCAGCTCCCCCAGTTGACCACGGCACTCCTCCACCAGAGAAAAACAAAGAAGCCACCCAGCTTTGTTGGGCGATCAACAGCTCACATGGCATGAACTGCACAGCAAAGCATAGTTCCATGTCTGTGGGATGAATCCAATGTGGCCAATCCCTTAATCAAACAGTTTCTGATATAAATAAGACTCTGCATGTTTCTCCTGTTTTCTGTTGAGAGCAAAGCTTTCCAGTTAGAGAACATACAAATCACAGTGTTTCACCGATTCCTTTAAAAACACCTTGGGGTAGGAAAGTGTCTTTTGTTCTCTCTCAGTTTCAATTGCTCTAAACAGCTCTCTGTTTTATCTATGTATCTATTCTGGAAGGATATATACGCAGATGTTAACAGGGTCATAAGTTTCATAGGAAAACCTCCCCCATGTCCTCCACCACTACCTCTAGAATCCAGGACTGTTAAGACTACTGAAGAACGTCACATTCCACAGACATTTCAAAGCAGAACATTGCATTTTATCGCAAGTAAGAGGAAGAATTTTTGACTGGTCTCGGTCTCTTGCTGTCCTTAAATGTAGGTCTAACGGGATGTAAAAGAATCAAAGGACAGTCTAACTCAGAGAGGGGAGTCCCCAGACCCCCTCAATGCGAAAACAATTACGCAAACTAAGACAAAGATGAAATCAAAGTAATGTCAAAGGAAAGAGCAGGTCACAAGGACAGAAAAATATTGGGTCACACCCCTGGTCAGTATTTCTAATAGAGGGGTGTTAATACTATCAGGACAGTAGTATCAAAAAGTCCAATCCTACTCTAACAGAGGTAGACAGGTATGACAAGTGTTTGGTATAACCACCCCATACATTATAGACATGTAATTAAAGGTTCCCATTGTCCACACTGCATCTGTGTTGGTCTCTCAGATGTTTGTTTGCTAAGTGTTTCCGCCTTGCCTTTGCTCATGACTTTTCCTGAGCAGGTTGCAAACCTGCAATTGGGGACAGGGGGAGCAATTCCAGCTAGCAGACATACTTTGTTGGGTTTACACAGTGGGTTTTGTTTTTTAAATCCATTGTTTTATCTTAAGAAGTTGGAGGATCTGGAAACCCTGGTCTCCATATTCCTGTAGGAGGACAGTCTGTGGGCGCTGAGTTGTCGCCTCCTTTGGATGGGGTCATGTGTTTGCTACAGGCATTTCCACTTTCTGTTTTCTTACACCAGCCCTGCTTTATTCATTTACATCACCTGCCTCTCTCCTTTAGACACAAGCGTTTGCAACCCTGCTCTACAGAAACTGTCCTCCCGTCCATCTCTACCTGTTCGAATTCTAGCCATTGTTCATGGTCCATCTCAAATGTCAGCCTCTTTCCTTTCCCCAACAATCAGGTGTGAGTTCTTCCTCTTTGGAATACCCATAACCTGTGTTACATTCCTTTTATAGCATATACAGTATCCAGTAATATTATTACTCTTATCTGTATCGTACTTATCTTGTTCTCCTGACTATAGCATAAGGTATATAAAGCTTACACATCCATCAATCCATGCATTTCACAATTTATTAAGTACTAGGTGCCACATACTGGGTTAAGTGCTGTGGATATTACAGTGAATAGGAGGGAAAAAGTACAGGCCCTCAAGGAGATAAATGAGTGCAGAATCTGTTGTGCTTTTCTTTGCATCCACTGCAGAGCTTAGGAAAGTGTCTTGTACTTAATAAATACTCAGTTGACATTTTTTGAAGTGAATTTAGATGCATCCATTTACATTTACAAAGTGTCTTCTATTTGGCAACTCCATTTATCCAGTTTATGTCATTCTATTAAAGTATTAGAACTATATTTCTTCAAAAAAACACTCTAAAAATCAGAATTTTCATTAATGTGTACTAACCACTAAACATTCCTGCTCCCATTCCAGTTAACTCTGAATCACCAAGGCTTTATCTTGAAATAGTACTCAAAATATTCAGATGTCCCTCTAAATTTATTTACCTGGGTAACTGCTGAAAGAGAGGCGACTACTGCTGGTGTCTTTATCCTTGATATTGAAGTCCCAGTGTTTATATATCCTGAGCATGGCTGCGTATGTGTACCAGCTTGAGTGAGCAAAATAGATGTTCTCAAATCCAGGAAGAACCTATAGCCATAGTGGGTGACACAGGGGTACATAGATAACCGACTACAGTTATAAGTGTAGGAGACAAACAGGGATTGTGTCAATTCAAGTAAGTACTTATTGCTATACTTGGTGCTGAAAAATATGGCTAAGGAATCCAATATTGACCTTTAACGTGCACAAAACAAACTCTTCTTTCTAACATCCAGAATGGAAGATTCTAGAAGGTGATAGTGGCAGGTGCATACAGCATGGGAGGAATGGTGGAAGAAACAGAGGTAACATTAGGTACTTCTAGTTCCCTCCATCAGAGTTCCTTCCAGTTCTTAAATCCTACCACAAAGGAACCCATGAGCTGATACATAGCTATAGCCAGGGGTGATGAGATGTTGCCATATTTGACTGATATACAGAAAAAGTCTGTGTGAACCAGAACAAGGAAAAAGGAGCTGGTATGTCTTACCTTAATAAGAGCAGAGCAATGTCCCATGTCCCATCTCTTAAAAACCTTCAGACTGGTATTTTTTGTGGGGGAGAGTGAGGGAATTAGATCCAATAGATCTCCAACTGCATTCAGGAACCGAATCTGGAACAGGGTCAAGGGCTGGGAAAAGACAAAGACTGTATTTAACATTGATTTGTGACAGATGTCATTCTCTGTTTTTCCTCTTGTTAGGGATTCATTAAATAATTCCCTTGTGAATTATGTAACAGATAATGTAGCAGATGTCTCTCATGTAACAGATGTACTAGATTTTATTTCAGCTTATAAAGTAATTGTTACGGCTTTATAGTTTAGAAAAGATGTTTTAGCGTGTTTTGATAGCCACAGATTTGGGGAGTGGCTCCTTAGTAAAACAGAGCTTTCAGTTTGCATTCTTCTACAGCAGGGTTTCTCAACCTTAGTGATATTGAAATTTTGAGCTAGATAATTCTTCCTTTTGGAGGGTTGTGTTATAGGATGTTTAGCAGCATTCCTGGCCTCTACCTTCTATCTGTCAGTATAAAATATACTCCCAGTTGTGACAACCAAAAATGTCTCCAGATATTGCCAAATGTCCTCTGGAGAGAAATCACCCCTAGATGAGAACCACTACTTTACTGCAAAAACAGTCAACTAAGATGCTTCTGATTTTGATTGTGTGCTTAATATAGGACCATCTGACTAGGCAGCATTAACCCTGAAGGAATTATCAGATTATACTTGAACATGAACTTTGTGCTAACTGGAGAGCACAAGATTCAACCTACCAGAATAGCCCAGGGCTAGGCATCTACAAATTTTTAAAATTCTTTTTTTAATTTTTCATTATTATGGGTACATAATAGTTGTATATACAAATTGGTTTTTAGGTAGAGGTGCTGAGAAGACAAACACAAATGACTTT